TGCTTTCCAGCAGGACAGTCCCCAGCCTGTATTGGTGCTGGAGGCTCTTCCTCCCCCAGTGCAGAACCCTGCACTTCCCTCAGTTGACTATCTCACAAGGTTCCTCCCTGTCCATTTCTCCAGCCTGCTGAAGTCCTTCCTAAGGCCTGCGCAGCCCTCTGGGGCATTGGCCACTCCTCCCAGCTTTGTGTCATCAGTGAACCTGCTGAGGAGGCATCTGCCCCTTCATCCAGGTCATTGATGAACTTGTGAAACACTACTGGGCTCAGTATTGTCAATTTGCAAGTTATCATGTTCCCAGATACCTGGGTCTCAAAACCATGTTATACAAAACTTTCTTCCCCCAAAGACTAGAACTGAGGACAAGACGTAGGAAGCAGAATCTCAGAAAGTAACAGTAAACTGGTTCATTTACACCACACACCTCCCTAAACACACCCCTTAGACTCTGTTAGGAACGGTGCTATTTGTATTGTGATTGGATACAATCTCAGCAGAGGCCTCACCTTATTTTGGGTTGGACTCGATGATCTTTAAGGTCTCTTCTAACCTAGTCATTCTGTGAATTCTCTGAGTTATTCCAGCTGTTTTATGGCTTTTCCAACTGGCACAGTTGCCATCAGAAACCGGGATATCCTTTTATTTGTGTCCATTCTGGAACTAGCAGTCTGGAATGGTTAGGGTTAGAATTAGGCTAGGATTAACATCCTTTCTGGAGTTAGACTACTGAATGGTGCAATACCTCTCCAAGTAAAAAGGTGACATGAGCCCATTCCCACCTGGTCCTTATTTTCTGCTTCAGAGAGTAATTTGTGGCAGAATCTCTGTAATGGCTCATGGCTTTCTAAGATCTGATTATTGCAGGTTACAGACAACTGGCTTTCCTTCTGTGGTGTTTAAGAATGATATCGTATAGTTCTTTCTAAAACGACACCCTGAAGTTACTGTTTTCTTTGAGGCAAGTGTCAGTCTGAAATGCATGTGCCTGCCACAGGATGGCAGCAATCCGTCACCACTGAAGCATCGCTCAGTTCGAGTGTTGCATCTCAAGATGTAGCCCAAAGATAAGCTATTCACACGCGATCGCTTTGTGAAGGTGGTATGACAAGCACGGGAAGGCCTTTGTGTACACTCACTCATTATCAATTTAAGCCATGGTTTACGGCGTTTGTTACAATGGGATAATTTGCCTAGCTACAAAAGCTGGCCCTAGGGATGAGGTCTGATATGAGCTACTCTCTCATAAAACAGTTGGTATAGGGGTTCATTCTGTGGAGGGCTAAATACTGAGGGTAAGGTAAGTAATCTCTTTTTAATGCTCCCCAGTGAGTACGTATTTCCTACCAATATCTGAGGGTTTTTCACCTTTAGGCCTATGTTTCCTCTTCCTAAGGCCATCTGAACTATAGACCGCTACAGTGTGATGCCCATCTGCAATATACCTTCTGTTTCCCTGGAATTCAGGGCCTCTTTGAAGACATTCGGTGCCTGGAGCCAGAAATTACTATTTTCATTGTAGGTATAGCTACTTACACTGAGTTTGCTGTCATCTCTTCTGAAACAATTTTTTTTTAAATTTTTATGAATTTTTATATCCATGCATCTGTAAGTCACTTGTAGCGGTCCTTGATTGGTTCTGTCATCAGTGACTTGGCCCAGCACTGACTGGTAAAAGCAAAAGCTGAGGGGGCTTTATAGCTGTTACCATGCAAAGGATCCTGTGAAATTATATTATTCTTCAAAGCCCTTCCTTTGTGAAAGCTGAGCCTTTCTGCTGGAGAATACAGTTTTAAACATCAAAAAAGTGCAGGGGCAAAATAGGATTTGTAGCCAGCAAGCTCTCTGCCCTGGCAGACAGTAAATCATGCTGCCTCCAGCCTGGAATACACATCTCCCTGTCCAGCACCCTGCAGTCTCTCTCACCCCTAAGCCCAATAATGACTACAAACCTAATGAGCCATCCTAATGGTGCTTCTGCAGAGGTGTCTCAGCAGCTCGCACAACCAGAGCTACCCTATGCCTAGGGAGCACTGCAGACTGGAAACTCCTCCAGCAGGGCATAAAGCCAGGGATGACCCAGTCTGCATGGTGGTTGATGTGAAATGGGGTGTGAGGAAGGCAAGTGAGAGGGAGAAAGCCCTGGACTTCAGGGGAGCAGACTTGGGCTCCTCCAGGTGGCTTGAGATGGGGTGCTCATCTTCGCCATGACAGAGGTAGCAAAGTAAAAGTGTAAGTTGAAGGCAAATCTTAGCTTCACAACAAGCAACAAAAGGATGCTATAAATGTCTTGCTAATAATATTCTCATATGACTCAGCATGGAGAGCCCAGTACCAGAGAAGGCATGGGACTTTCTCAAAGCTGTTAATAGCACTCTGACAGGTAGGCTTTGCTGGCTGCTTCTGCTAGTCCACATAGCAATGCATCAATTGCTGTTCCAGAGGGGAAAAAAAAAAAAACCAAAGCTATTTATTTTTGTCCATTCTTTTCCTTGCACAGATGATGGAAAGTGCCCTGAGAGTCTTTGCCCAGCTGTTTGATGCCATGTCCCTTTTGGGTCTGAAAAAGTCATTTTCAGGTATTTGAAGGAATATGTCCTGAGACAATATGATACTAGCATGACACATTTTTATATCACCAGTGCCAATAACTCAAGGCTGTGCCAGGAATAGTGCTGAGAGAAGAAAGATTTGTGCTCCTCTTCACTGCAGAACCCCTTTTCCCATGGTGTGGGAGACATACTCCTTCCAGTGTTGGCTGCATGTAATGGGGGTAAATTGGGGCACATCCAAATCTAAAGTGACAGAAATCTACTCTTTGGTGATGGGTGTGAACGTGCTTAGAGTCAAAAAACAAAACATGTGGAAAGCCCTGAGGGAGGTAGGAAAGGTACAGCTGAGATTTACCATCATTGAAAGTGTCAGGCCAGAGGTGGGATCAAGGATCTATTTAACAAAGCATACCTCCTCATCCCTGAGATTCTAGCAGGTAAGGAGAGGGAACAATTGAGCTATTGGCAAGATCTGTATGACCTCATGTGGCACACAGATTATGTTATAGATTTAAAAAATTAGGAGAATAATTGTGAATTAGGTGTGTTCTGTCAGAGCTCTCCACTTGCTGTTCTGCAGTGGCAATGCAGGCTCCAGAGCTCTGTGGGGGATGGCATCAAGAAGCATCTGAAAGGTGATTTCCTTCTGCTGTTCACACAGGTCTGAAGGTTTTTGTTCTTGACTAACAGCCTATTGCAATGTTGGTATTCATCCATTCTCAGTCTCTTGTTGCCATCTGTCTTCATTTCTAGAAATCCCAAACAGGGTTGAAAATCTAGCATTTCCACGGACAGCCATCTTGTCTGCCATGCTGTGAATTACTTCCCTGGGTGTTTTGCTGTAGAGAAACAAGGAACCTCATAGAGAATGGAGACACAACCTTCCGTCTATGACAAGTTGCTATTGTTTTTTGGGTTTGCCTCTGTCACTTGGAATTACACAAACATCTTTTAGTCTGACTTTTTCTTGCTCCAAGGGGAAGTGAACATTCAGTAGTAGTTCTGCCACAATATGGATGGTTCTACCAACTCCTCTTTCCAGTTAGGATGTTAGAGAATCAGTTCTTGTAACATTTTGAAGGAAACTTTCAGTAGCCTTGAGCTTTACAATTCTCCTTCTCAAGAGGTACCATGTAATTGAAAGCATTATGAGAAAACAAATATCTCTGACCTAGTATCAGAAAAGAACCTTAAAACTTCCCACAGGTGCAAGCAAGGCTCAGATCGCTTGGCTGAATTGTGGCCAAGCCTTGAGACTAACAGGGATTTTTGGGTTTGCCTGGGCAAATAAGATGTCCTTTGTGAAAAGCCTTGGCACCCTAACGGTGCAAAATGACATTCAGATTTTATCCTTTATTTTTCCAGTTTGCATTGGTAAAGTGACCTGAGAACTGAGAGTGCTTTGAAAGCTCACTTCTCGTGTGTCTGTGAACAGTGACGGTCTCTGTTTTCCCTCAGCAGATACCGCCTTGGCTGACCTGCTCAAAGGATTATGAGCAAACGTGGGCAATGTGGTGAAGTGCCCAACTCCTTGGCCATGTCAAGCTGCAGTTTGGATGTAACTCCTCACCTTTTCTGACCTTGCTTGGTAGCATATGCTTTTGCCCAAGTAAGCAGCTCATTTATTTATACACCAGGCAAACAGTCCTGTAAAACTGATGCTGCTTCTTTTGAAGTGCTGAAGAACTTTGCCATTCATTTACAAGATCAAAGAGATTGTAATTTTCAGGCAAGCCACTCTGAAATCCCTACTGGAGTTGTCTGTTCCTGTTTCTTCTCTAAGAAGTCATCTGCTTCCTTCCTTTCCCTTAATTGATCTCAGAGCAGAGTCCCTGCAAAGAGCATTGATGTTTTAAAACTTTTCAGTGTTTTCTCTTCTGTAGGTTCTCTTGTGCTGAACCTATTCCACTTCTAGAAATGCTGCATTCATTCACATCAAAAAGCTCTTTGTAGCTCCATATGGTTTTCCAGAGGAAGTACTGGTCAACCTTTTTGGTCAACCTTTTAAAGTTGCAGTGTTTATACAATTTTGTTACAGAGATCAAATTAGAAATGCGAAGTACTTGGAAATGTAACAAAAAGCAAAATAATTTTTTTGTCTTTACATGCATCTTGCAGCAATGTTTCCCACGAGGAACGCAGACATCTATAGCCTGTCTGTGTACCCCCATGGCACCTTAAAGACTGCTGAGGTGATGCTATCTGTCTTCTCTAAGATCTTTGATTCCAGCCTCGTGGTGAAGACTGACAAATAACCACCATTGCCCTTTTTAAATGTTCTTTTAAGAGAAGAGGCTAGGAAAGTTTATTAGTAATTCTCACTTGGCATAATTGTTGGCTGAGAAAGCTTTACCTGAAATCTCTTATAATCCTTACAGCTGAAACTACTTCTCTGTTGCAGGTGTGGGGACTGGCACATTGCTTCAAAATTGCAGGGTGGAGCGGGCTGATAGAGTGATGGCACACCTGGGTTTTTTCTTTAGGAAATGCTACTGGAAAGCAGTCAGCTTCAAATAAACCCAGTGAATTGAAAGAATACATTCTGATTTTGTACAGGTCCTGGGTTTTGGATGGGAAAGAAAATAAATGAGTACTTCAGCTCCATTAAATCCTTATAGAAGAGACTGTAAAGGTAATCAATCAGCCTTTCTCCACACGAAAGCCCAGGAAGAGAGAGTGGGGTGGGCAGCGGTGACAAGGGGAGAGATGGCTGAAGACAGACAGATGGCAACAGACACAAGCATCTGCCTGTGCTCACATCATTCCATCACCCCCATTCTTTGGCAAATGTGTGACTGCATGTTGGAACTCTGATGGCTGAAAACCTTGATCTTTCTGAATTTAAGGGTGCCAACCTTCAAGTAAACACCTTGTTTGACCTGAGACCTTGGAAAAAGCTTCAAAAATTGAGTGATTGCACAGAAATAGTGTGTGAGTAGTTTGGATGGTATTGTGCGATCTCACAGGGTGAAAAAACTTAGATTTGGGATTTCAGTATATGTTGATACATGGGAGCCAAGATGGAGAATTTTGGGTGTGGGTTAGATGTCTTTTTTGCACCTTCTTCTTCATGAATCTGGGTGGTTTTATCTAATTGGGTGAAAGACGTCCACATTGTGGGGTTTGGGTGATTGTAATTGGGTTAGAAGCATAAATAATATAGATTATTGGATAATTGGGACTTAAATATCCTTGAACAGACACCATTTTAGCTCACTTTCTCAACTTGTTTGAGAGAGCTCACATCTCATGAGTTTGTAATAAATAAGGATAAAAGCCTTCAGAGTGAGACTTCAAAACCAACATCTCCTGAATTTTATTCCCCCTGACCTTGGAGCAGGAAAGAGCTTGTCATTCCAACAACTGCATGCAGGCTTTATCCACCTTCAAGGTACAACCTGGGGCTCTTGCACGGGGAGTTCAAGAGGCATGAGCTGTTCCTGGCAGGTGCTGGGGCTGAAGCACAGCTGGGGCTGGTGCTCAGGTGTTAGAAAGTCAGTGGAGCAGCAGTGCTGCCTCTCCTGCTCTGCTCCTGAGGTGCGCTGCTTTGGAATCACCAACTGATTGTGTTTCATCTATAAGGTAACCTATAATGTATTTATCATGTTTTCAGTACATTCTTAGGGAAGCCAAAGTCCTGAAAATTGACAGAGCTTTCTGGCATTACAAAATATACAGAGCTTGTGACATTTTTCACTTTCTTTCACCCGTGTTGTTGCAAATGAGCATGAGTCTTGTCATTAGTAAATAAAAGCTTAATGGAGTCAAAGTTTCTTCTGTAAAATCCCACTGCTTGTACGGATGTGCAGCTCTTTCCTCTAATAGAGTGAGTATGTACAATTTGGTTATAAAATATTATCTATACACAGTTTATTGGCAGTAATCTTTCTGCTATAAAATACCAAATTAAATTCTGAGCCAGAATGGAGTCCCTTCACACAACACTTGTATTCTGTGGCATAATGATGCTTCTGTTAAAACTGTTTGTGTGAGGAAATAATGTTTGTGATAAAACTTGTGGGGTTTACTATATGCCCCAAATACCTAGGATTTATGCAGGATTCCTTTGGCAGTCACACAAAAGAGCCAGTAGTTACATAGTGGCAATCCAAACCTCAGTTTGCTTTTGTAGAAATTGCACTCCTGACTTCTTTCCCAAAATTTGGAAGAAAAACTGAAGTGATTTGTCCAAGAATAATGGTCCCACTAACTTTCCAGAGTGTGGATGTTAGACTTAGAGTCATATGTCCTTTTCAACAAGGAAACAAGGGACCTTTACCATTGTGTAAGTATAAATACAATGTTTGGGTCTTTTTCATATATTTTTGATGTATTGAAAAGTACTAGGCGGAAATAAACTAAATTATATAAAGGGAAGGAAGTTTCTGCTTTCCTCTTTCTTGGGAGCTCAGACATAAAGACTTGTGAGTACTGGTATTTTAATGTATGGATCAAAGCCCAGTATAAGAGAAGAAATAAAAGGGTAATATTTAATGCTGAGCAACAACATAGGAAGTAAGGAAAAGTGTCTTGTTGTCCATAAAACTTTATAGTTTAAAATTGACTGTGTATTGTTATATAGCTTGGAAGTGATTCTCTAAACACTTGCACTGTTTTCAAGGGACCTCCTAATGGGTTAGATGCTTTCCAAGCTGTAATCTTTGTGTGAATGGCATTCTCAGTCTTCTGGAAATGTTCATTATCCCTGTGAGTCTGGGAGATGTGCAAGAGCATGCACTAGGTATCAGAAGAAAAATATTTTTCCTTTTCAGGATTCTGGGAGGATGCATTATTTCTGATTTTCAGCAGAAACTTACAGGAGCTCCATAAAGAGAAGAAACCAGCATGTCTAGGACTCCTCTGATGCAGCAGTTTCTTAGACTAGTCATTGTTATGAGCCACACCCGTTACCTGCTCCCACACCTGCAGGAAAGCTAATATTAAACATTTCATAGGAGTCTACAGGATGTCATTTGTAATAACAACTGGCACCTGGAAACACTGAAGAGGATTCGGCTGACAGAAGGATAACACCAGGTTAAGATTATTTATATTTTCAGTGATTTCCTCCTCCTGTTGTGTATGCTCTTAATCCAGGATTAAATTCTAATTGTGGCTAAATCCTTGGAAAGGTCATCACTTTGAATGGAAGTTCTAGGAAGGCAATATACCTGGGGTTTGAATGAGAAATTTCAGTGTGTGAACTTTACTACCCTGTAAATTCTGGATGTTTAGTGCAAGGCAAACACAAATAATAGCAAAAAAGACAGGAACCTCACAGGCTCTGTTCTTGGACATGATGGGAAAGGCAGTGCAATGAAAGCACAGTGTCCCAGGTTTTGCTCTATTTGATGCTGCCTGCACAGAGTCTCATATGAACATGTTAAGATAAAAGTCTGTGTTGTCTTGATAGCTTGGATGTTGGGGCTGAGCATGCTCAGTGTTGTCAAAAGCAATCAAAAAGCATCATCCAAAAGGAAATCTACACTTTTTCAAAGTGGTCAGAATCAACCTGTGCATAATTTGAGACAGCGCAAGAAGAGATGGAGTTAAGCAGGACGCTTGCTTTTTTCTATAATTTTTTGTGATGAGCAAAACTTTAATGAAGCCAATGCAGCTCTGTCCAGCCACTGCCTGATCTGTGTAACCAGTAGGCACACAAATACATTATTGCTGTTGCTAGTGATATACCACAGGCTGTGCACTCACACTGCAGTATTAAGGCATGTCAGGCTTGCTTTGCCTCAAAATGCCTTAGCCTGCCTGCAACTTCATTTTAGCTGGCTTAGCTGTGACAGCAGTTTATTTTAAATAGCAGGTGACTATTTCCTGATTTGATCATGGGATATAACCACAATTTTTGTACAGACAAGAATAGTGAGTAATAATTTTGTGTAAAGATATATTTATTCCATCATCTTAATATTGCAGTGTAAAAGAAAAAAGGCCTGGCCTGGCAATTGAGGGCTTTCTGTGGCAACCCAAGATGCAAGGCAGAGGAGTGCAGACATGAAGAGGGCATGGGAGTGGCAGTTAAGAACTATGGATAGCTCAGCAGCAAAAAATTAGATGTAAACCTTTGGCATGGGTAAAACTGGTTTATAGGTAGCACAGGAAACAGAAAAGAAGTATACAACATGTGTAAAATACTTTTTACACAGGTCATTCAGACATAATGTGGAATTGCAAATGAATTAAAAAGAACAAGCTGTAAAGTAAGAAAGAAAATGTACCAAAAGTCCCGAGCAGACTTTAGAAAGAGAAGGAAGAAACCAGCAATTTCAACATTATGCTGCTTGGGCACAGCTATCGTGTTCCTTTCAGAAAAAAAAAAATGGAAAAATTATGCTCCCTGTCACCATTTCCTCATTTCCTCCCCTGACTGAAGGCAACTGCCTGAAGACTCGAGAGAAAGAGTGGAAAGGTAAGTATAACACCAGGGAGAAAGATAGGTGCTAGAAAGTATGCATTGTATTGAATAGTTATTGAGACTTTTTCCCATGTTTGTGTTCTTTATTTATTTTCTTTTGTCATAAATGAAATACATTTGAAAGGCTTTATGCTTCTCTTTTTCTTTCCCCATCTAATTCCTTAATTTGCTGAATTTGCAATAGCTTGCTTAGTTCCCAGAATGCAACTTTAAGTTTCTCCTGCTGACTAAAGTCCTGCTGATACATTAAATGCTGGAGGTTTTGTTCCGTCTTTTCTGCAGAGTGATTTCTTCACATGAGTCAGTCACAGATCATTCAGTGCATGTGCTCCTGTAAGTGTATTACAGAGCTTGGTAAGCAGAAAAACCCTGATATATTTTGCCTTTTTGAACCAACACCTAGGAAATTAAGGAACAGTTTTCATGTCTAAAAACATGTACCATTTTTAAATTGCAGGCATATGATGCAAGCCCATATTTGGGGAAAATTGATGCTCTCACTGGGCTCCCCTCTGAACTGGAGTGGTGAAGCACTGCTGCAACACAGAGAGTAAAAGCCCCCCAGTGACAGAGCACCAGCCAGCTGCTCTTTTGAAGTGGATTTGTTTAAACCTGCTACTCTAATGAGCTCACCAAGGATGACTGGAAGGCTTTTAATGCCAAAAAAAGGAGCAAAGCAGGAGCTACAGTAACATTCTTTTAATAAAAAAAAAAAAAAAAATCAGTGCAACTTATTAGAAAGAGAGATCAAATCTTGTATTTCTTTGTGCCACAGAGAGGCTCCTGCCTTTTAGCCACTCATCAGTGGTTGCCAAGAGTGGCCCCATCTCTTATTAGGAAACTGTTGCCTCAGAAGCAGGACTTCCACACTTCACTTGAAACCTCTCACAAACTGATTCATCTGCTCAAAAAAGTTTTAATTTCCTTTACCATCACCTAACCTACTTAGTGTAAGTTCAGCTCAGAGGAGAGAGTTTAAATAATACAAAGCTTCAGCCACCTAATTTGCATAAAGTATTTTTCATTCTCTTCAATATTTCAACATGAAAGTAGCATATATCTCAAGGAGCAAGGTAGCCTGTCTTTGTATTAGCATCAATCTAAAGCGTGTTCCTTGAGAAATAGTTCATTTCAAACTGTATATTGCAGTAATAAGCACTGAACAAGCATTTTTTTCTCTCAGGTAGTTTTCAATATCTGTCACAAGCTATAGAACACAACCCTCTAGAGAAAAATTAGCATTCAGGATTGATGAGAACAAGAATAATGTATGAAACTGAATAGGCTAGAGTCCATAGAAATCATGGCAGAAGTATGGATTTTACAATGTATTCATTATGTGATGTAACCATTTTCTTAACTGAGTTTGGCAAATAACCCAACGAAGGCAAAAAAAAAAAAAAAAAAAAAGTGGTTTAGACATTTAACTAGAGAATGCATAGAGTGCAATTGTTTTCATGCTAAAATGTCACAGCAAGAGCTGACATCCAGGATTAAACTGGCATGTTTTGAAATATAAGTGGTCAAGCATGTTTCACATTATGATCATTCTTCAGTTTAAATATTTCAGATGTGGTTTTGTTCTACAAAATTGGACATTGGCAACAAAAGAGCAGATTCAGATCTGGTTCTTACAGGTAAGCAATTCCAAATCGCTTTGCAGCAGGCACAGTCATTCCCATTTGTCCATCAACAAGTTTTAAGCATTACTTACCTGATCTCAAGATTTTTTTCCTTTTCATTCAATGTGTGTTAGAAAAAAATCTGTGCAAATACGTTCAACAGCTGTATTTTATTGGAACCAGGGAAAACCTACATGATCTGAATTTGGAAAGATCTTCTGTCACTGATATAAAATGTGGTTTTTGGCTACCTTGATGAAATCCATAGGCATAACTCATCATGGTGTGACTATTCATTGCAAGACTAAGTGATGTCTTGTCGGATAGTCAGTTTTTTCATTTTGTAGTGAATATTCTAATTAAAAATGTGAAGTAAAAATGTAAATGATTTATCCAAAAGAATCTGCATAGACATGTTCCAACTAATGTACCACTGGATTTGCCTTGAAATCCCTCAATTATATTTCTGTAAAATTTCAGAAAATTTTATGCCTTACAGAGGCAAAAGTGTATTTTCATTCCACACAACCAATTTTCTATCTGCTTATGGTTATTTTAACCCATCCCTTATGAAGTTTTCCTTTTGTCTCCTCCTTCTATGGTCCTTTTCTTTAACCCATGTAGAACAGGTATTGTGAAAAAATAGTCTGTGAGAATTTACACCAGCTTTCTGACATAATCACTCCTTTGGCAACTGCCCAAATCTCTGTGCTCCTCAGGGAAAACAGGTGCTTCTTGGGAACATTCATCATATGTTTTCTGTCACACACAAATTTTAATTTTTAGGATTTTTCTGTATTGGAAACAGTATAGTGGATTGCAACGTAACCGGACTAGTATGTCAGGCCAGTCTGTGCTGCTGTGGTATTTGCCTTTTTGTGCCGGTATATCTGGCACTTTGAAAGCACTTAGGCAAATAGGGAGGATTCAAAGGCTGTTGCACATTTTAGCAGCCCAAGGAGAAGGTACTGCTGGCTTATATCTGCTCTAAATTGGCTTTGCCTGCTGCCTCAGAGACACTGGTTGGTTTGGTACTTTTGTAAAATGGGCTGTATCGCCCTTTTGTGTCCTAATCCGGTCATTGCATCACTGCCTTTAGTCAGGTGTCCTGAGACATCAGTGGTTCCGGGGGTTTCTCGCTCGTTCACCCTGCGGCAGCAGCTGCCCCGCGCCCTCAGGTGCAGCCCCGAGCGCTGATTCCGGGGCGGCCGCGGGATGCGCCTGGCAGGGGCCGGACGGGGCCGGCTCTGCGCTCTCTCCTGAGGTCTGTGGAGCACAGATCCCGGCAGGACTGAGATGCTGTGTGGCTGCTCCCAGCCAGGCTCGCTGCTGTGCCCCCAGAGCTGTGGGCCCTTTTCCCGGCCTGGCCGGGGCCTGGAGCCGCCATAGGTCAGGTGGGTGCGGGGCCCGGCTGTCCCTGAGGGCACAGGGCCCCGGGCGGCACGGCTGAGCCTGCGGCAGCAGAGCAGGGAGGGAGGCGCCGCTGTGTCCCGAGGCGCGTTCGCTTTGTCTGTGTCCCTTGTGCGGACCCAGCCTGCAGGAAAGGGGAGCTTCAGGTTCCTTCTAGGGCGGGAGTAGCTACGACTCTTAAGAGATGAGGGCACAGTTACCGACTGGGCATAGGAAGTCGCGCCTCCTCGCGGCCCCCTTTGGAATCCCTTTGCGGTAACGAAGTCGGCTTTTGTCCAAGTGTGACAGGCGAAAATCGCCCTCCCTATGGCTTGGCCTCGCCGCCCAGCGGTAGTCTCACGGTCTTGCTGAAACAGCATTATTGGCACGGTTATTTCGCTGTTGCCCAGGGCCTTGTCCACGGGCTTGAGTTGGACACAGCTGGCAGACTGGGAGGGACACAGCTGCTGACTTTTACTGTCTTTGGACTGTGACTTTTTGGTATTTTTCCAGTTATTGCAATGGTGCAATCAATGGCTTTGTGATTTATATCGACAGCCGCCCAGATTGACCCCTTGGATTTGAGGGTCAGAGGTGCCAAAGTTTCATCTTTCCCCTCTGTGCCCAGGGAAGAGGGTTTCAATCTGGTACATTTGGAGTTTGTAAACTCTGTGTTTGCTCGTGTGGTTGGAGTCATCTGGGAGTTGTTTTGGAGAGTGTGGCAGAGCTCCCTGAGCCGTATGAGACCTTGCCGTTTGGGCTGGCTCGGGATGATTTCAGTGTGTAGCCAGAGGCAGTGAAGAGCCTAAAACACCTGAGGCACTTTCCAGGACTAGTAAGGGCAGAACACCGGTCAGGACTCTTCTTGTGTCCATCCCTGACAAAAATCCATCTTGTCCATGCTCTGCCCCCCCATTTACTCGGATGCTGGGGTTGATGCACCATCTTAAGAGGACCCATGGGCAGAAAAGGGTCCATCTTTAAGTGCTCTAAATGTGGTAAATCAAATCTCACGTACTGCAGTATTGTTTGTCACGTCTCACAATGCAAAGGGCAGGTGCGTGTGGTTCCAAGGGGCGAGTGGATCTGTGAGGGGGGCCAGCGAGGTTTTTCTGCCAAGATTGGCCTGGGCCAACACAAGATGTTAATGCATTGTCTTGTGAGGAATATGGAATGGATTGTTGCCTCGCATCCCAAGGAGTCATCAGTGAGGGGAGCCCACAAGAAGGTGTGGACTGAGGAGGAAGAGGCTCTTCTGGTGCAACAGGTGGAGAGGTTTGCTGGTAGCAAAAATATTCAGGTCCATTTTTCACGTGCCTTCTCACAGTCACAGCTGTGTCAAACAGAGTCTATACTATTTGTCTGTACTGCCATGGCATTTTAGTTTTCTTGTCCTGTTATAGAGCTGCTCGTAGCATATGCTGCTCTAATCCTTTCAAAGCACTTTGTGAAGATAGTGAAGGCACTTGGGGATAATCTCTGTGAAGCCACTAAATTGGTCACCACTAAAGCACTGAGAGACATGAAACGAGGCTCCTGTAATCTGCAGAGGGAGCCTTTCTCTCCTTTGGAAGCACAGACACCTGCAGACCCACCAAACAAACCACAGCAGTTTGCAAAGCCTCTGTTCTTCACTGGAGGGTGCCACCAGAAGGAAGAAGGAGAAAACTGCAAGCCGATCAAGGTATTAATCACTCCCGGTGTGTGAAGACTGGGGTGAGGGGAAAAAAATCAGAAAGGATGCTTAACCACTTTGCTACTCCAGATGAATTAATTTAGATTCATGTTTTTTAGTTATGACTAAAACCTGATAGTTGACATATGGCCTCTCTTAACAACGATTGATAATACCTCAGAAAAGACTAAAAATATTCTCAGCTGACTCAAATCCCATGCACTTCAACAAAACAAGATTTCCATTTTCAACTGTATGGGCAAAATCCCACATCATACATGGAGCTTACTCCAAGTTTGGAGGGTCCTTAGCAGTCTAAAAATATGATCCAAAGTACTTACAATTTTTTTCAAAAAATATGATCCAAAGTACTTACAATTTTTTTCAACCTGTACTGGAAATTACCTTCCCTTCTTTTTAAATTAACAACTATCCTGCTGGTAAAGTAAGTTAATTATTTTTTCTGCTATGTTAAAGTCACATTTGCAGGTGGTGACACCTCCCTGTTTGGTTTTTTTTTTTTTTCACTGTGCCATTTTTTAATTTGTGTGAGATTTTTCCTGAATTTCATTTGAACTAAAATTCCACTCATCTTCAATGAAGAAAAAAAGATGAAAGTACGGTTATGTAAGCAACATATCAGTATGGTGTGGGTGTGCCTGTGAGCCTGTAGGTTATGTGGTGTCACTTTATTTTAGAGGAAGTTGTCTCTTTTGTCAGATACCCACTCTTCATTAGAGATTTTTGCACATAGCAGTAATGAGGATTCAAGGAAGTCTTCTGTCTTTTGCTGGCCACAGGTTCACAGGCTGTATTAATAGATAGGATTAGTGAAGAAGAATAGGTCAGAAGGCTGCAAAGCTCCTGTCCCTTGAGATTTCCTTCTTTAGATCATTAGTCTTATTGAGAGCT